CGTGTAGATCAAGATAAAGATTTTAAAAGCTCCCATACAATTTATATGCAAAAAGTAAATGTTATTGTACGAACATCGTTCTGGCGTCTAAATTCAAGACTGCAATCGCATTGAGAAGTGAAATTTTTAAATCTGTTACGAAAGAAATTTATTAGGCTTGAAACAAGATGCACCATTTGTGTCAACTCTGCTTCGAGATTTCATTTTGCGTATTCATTTTTCTCAATCGACTTCGATGAGAACTTATGTATTAGTCGACCAGAAAAAAATTGACCTGGACTGAGTAGCAGAACCATCGCAAAACATATACAAAGTACAGTCTGTTTTGCTCATATTAGTTGACATTTACTGCTTATCTGTCGATTGTCATCGATATTAAATCTCTTGAAGGAAGAGAAAATAATGTATCGAGTGATTAATGATCATTTTTGAGATGGACAAATTTGTTGAGAAAATACAGCGTTTTGGCAGTTTTTCTTTATATGAATGACTTCTTTTGTCCTTCATAAATGAAAGATTAGTACCGGGAGTGAGGCTCACATGTGCTGTTAGAAAGACAGACCGCTGACAGAACGGCATTTTGTGAGCACCTACGATTGGAAATTCGGCGTTTGCACACCTGTGCACTACTACATTGTCGCAACCCCAAGGGTTACGAATAAACTGTACCCCGAACTCAGATGTCCGGAGACAATCATCAATATTTCCAGTTTGAGCCGGATCAGTTTTTCTGGTGAACTAATACTGTTGTGAGCAATATGCAGTCTTGGATATTTTCCGACAGCAGAGAAGCTTGAAGTTTCAGTTAAGTTTTGAGCTGAAAGCATCCCTTTTGAAAAAATAGTGGAAATGTGCAACAAAACTTGCGCTACATTCCTACTCATTGTTAGAATGTATGTTTCTCGTTCATTTCGTGATTACGTTTATTTCCGTTCGCAGGCAGATTTTCAGTATTTGCTGCAGGTACAAAAATAAGTTAATATGTCCCATAATTTTAATTTTAAGTTGTGACACTTTTGGTAGGAAATGAACAAACACAGTAATCACTCCCTGTGGATCACTTTTTACAAGTAGAACGAAACATATTTGTTCATTTCCAACCAGTCGTGGGCCGTTTTGTAGTCTATTTTATACTTTTACTTGGGTCTTTGTTCGAAAGACGAATTCGTTTGAAAAACACGAAAGATGTGAAAAGGCATATGTTTGCATTATGTGACCACCCTGCTTAAAACTCCGCTTTCGTTCCACAAATAGCAATGTATTTGTTTTTACTTTATACACTGATCTGGGGAATGTGTGAACTCAGAAGTTTCAAAATGTTTATGATAAATCCACAAGCATAGTATCCTCATTAATGTATTTAAATTACGTTAATATAAATCGAAAATATTCTAGCGTTTCGTCTATAACGTAATGAAACAGTCGGTAACAGAAGTGTTCATAAAATCAATCGATAGAATTTGGTGGCAGCATACAAAACGGACTGACGGACGGACAGAACGACAAAAACGGGTAATGCTAGTTAATATTGGAAAGCCAATTACTCAAATATAATTGAAATTGGCTTGTCCTGCCAACAGCCGATTAAAAGGCAGAAAAATCATGTAGTAAGTGTGTAGAAATGTGTAGAAAATTAGTGTAATAATATGAATGTTCGATGTGCAGAGCATATGGATCGTTCTGTAGAGTAGTGAAAGTAGTAGAAAGATCGATCCATATACTGACCTGTGTTGATGTCGCTGCATGGCAATTTCCAAATTTTCGATGATTCGGTCGTTGCAATGAACAAGTCTGTTCTTACTATATGTTGGTCCTTAGGTAGCACTTATTTACTTACCAAAATGTAAAACATTTAAAACAAATTTGTTATTACTTGCGTAAAGAACATTTGTTTATTGTATGTGCATTAAGTGAAGGTACAGTGAAGATAAAAAAGGATTTACTTAATTGGTAGAATATTCACAAGCGTTGCTTAATAAAAGTTGTCTGTAACATTAAAATTATTGAGGGTACCCTACCAAGGAAACGTTTAACATTTCTTATAATACATCATATAAAAATATCGAATGTAATTAAACAGTGAAAATTTTTGAAACCTTGCTTTCCGTAAGTGATATAAGCATAAGTAGACATAGAAAGGACATTTTTTGACGCGTGTTAAGAGTTAATAAAATGGCAAAGTAAGTAGGAAAGGGACTTTGTCGTTAGACGTATTCACGAACAAACATGTATTTGGATTTCAAGAAATTGTGACGTTTCCATTTTAATGTTGGGTTTTTAACTCGTACATTCACGTTAAATCAATGCGTAAAACGTTAAAAATTGTAATTGATATAAATGATTGGCTGTCGTAAGCAAATTTTGACACGCACGTCGCGCATCTGCTGTTAATATGGGGTCGTTCGTAATATTTGTTCAAGAGGGTTACGCTGCGTTACACTGAGGAAGGGGGTGTTAGTGTATTGTTCCGTAACGCTGATATTTACATTTTTTTAATTTTCAATATTTACAGTAAATAAATTAAAAGCGAGGTGTCAGATGAAATCTATGTTCCTGTGATTGAAGTAGAGAGATACGTGAAGCACGGGGATGGATGATGCCCTAAAAATCGTTTCCCGTATCAAACAATGAACTTCTTTAATTGTTTTAAAAAAATCGTAATATGCAACACAAATAAGCAAATGCAATTAGTTTTTCCTGATATATAATTTATTTTACTTATACGAGTAAATAAGGGGGTTAAAATGAGCGTTAGGTAATTATTTAAGGGACTTTCGTTCTTGCGTTAAAGGAAAATGAATCTATCCAAAATACTCCAAATTTGCGTTACGTAATTTAGGGGCGATCCCTAACTGTGCCTGTATTAATGTTATAGAGTTGAAGTATACTGTTATATTATTAAATAGTCAAGAAAAAGATTGGAATAAGTTTAAGTATGAAATTTGGTAGAAATATTAAAATGAAGTATTAAAACGTACCCGTAGTTTCAATGCCAGTTTTGTAGAAAGACCTCAGAAAAAAATAATTTACCGTAACAATTTCATTTCTGGCTTGTATGTCATTATAATATTTGCTTATTTTCCGTTCGTTTCCATTCCTATTCCTAGTATGCATTCACAATTGTCACATGCTATACATAAAAAGGTGGTGGTCAAATTGCACTAACAAAAGCACTTCACACATAGTTCGAGGAGTGTTTTTCATTTTCTGTATAATGGTATGTAAATTGTTATTAAGGAAACAGAATCACACTGAATGTCGGTTTCTTTTTTCACTGATATATTTATGTGGTTTGATATATGTGTGGGTGTGATGCAAATAAGGGTTTCTTAACTTTTTTATTCAAACTTGTCTTTCAGATGGTTTGAGTTACACCGTTCAAGAGCTTGTATATAATCCATAATGTCCTGTTGTATTTTATCCTTAGCCCAAATTTAACTACTTCAAACTTCTAAATAAGGTTTTTTTTCAGTTTCAGCATTTCACATGATACATATACTTAGGAAAACTGTGAGAGTGTAATATTCAAAAATTCAGTATTGTAATATTCAAATTTGGAACGTATGTGGGGTAGCTTTAAAATGAATGGTTGATCATCCAAGAACAATCAGTTTGACCAGCTTAAATGTATTGCCGACCCAATAAAATATTCTGTGGTGTCTGTTAAGAGGCGGAAGCACAGAAGTAGACGGACCGGTGGCGATGCGCAATCGTTATCATCTTTACTTAAAACGCTGCGGGAATTGCCAAGAAGTCACTCATACAAACTCATGCTCTTCTTTGACGCAATACCACAATCATAAGTAATTGTGCGTACCATGTTTTCTTATTGTATTACTGCAAAGGAAGTAAATTTTTTTGTTATTTGCAACGAATGAAATTTTGCTTATCTCCAAAGTTAACTTCCAGATTTTCAACTGCTGATTTAAACTACGTACATATTATGAACGGAAAGTTAAGGCTTCCGTAGGACATTTCTGATTAGGTCCAATCATTGATTATTCTTAAAAGCCTCAGATAACGAATTAACTCAAAGTTAAAACCATCGCACAAGGAACGTTTAGAGGCAACATTAGGAAAATGAATTGCAGAATTCTTTTCATTCAAACTTCACAGTCGACTCAACGAGTTTCTGCCAGAGCGAGATGCACTATATTCTTAGCATCACACTGCGCGCCGTTGTTGCAATGTTACAGGCTACGTGATACTCTTGAGTATTGTACCGTTATAGTTGATCAAGATCAACGTCTGATAGTTTTGGAAGATGAACACGTAAGCTTCCGCGTCTCGAGTTCATAACTTCTTGGCCGTCCGGGTCACTGCCCTGAGAAAGCCTGCAATATGACAGGCGAAATGTCTACCTCTCAGCCAGCGACGCGGCGTCACCCGGACAGCCAAGAAGTCATGAACTCGAGACGCGGAAGCGTACGGGTAGTCACTATCCTGCAGAAGCCTGCGACATGACAGGCGAAACGCCGGTCTCTCAGCCAACGACGCGCCGTCACCCGGACAGCCAAAAAGCCAGTTTCGAAAGATGCTAAAACGAATGTGAATAATTTCTAAATATTGTACACCGACCACCACCCTTTTTTATTTTGGCCTGTCAAATAGTTGTCAGATTGTATGACTGAATCAATTTATTGTGGTTTTTTTGTAAACATAAGGAACATTCACGTTCATTAAATTATTTGCGAAGGCTACATAAATGACCAGAGATTAAAATTTGGACAAAAGTTAGGATTTTTAAAGGAAAAATATAATCAATTTCTGTATTGTAGCAATATGAGCGTAAAAAAATATTTATGGACAAAATCTATATAACTTGATAATATTTTCGCATTAAAATCATAAATATTTTTAGCAACAAATTTTTAAACGTTCTGTCTAACACTGAATAAAATGGCAATGCTTCGGCCTATTAATTGTAGCCGTCTTCAGGTACAGAAAAATTACAATAAAAAGTCTACCCTTTATAAAATAGACAAATAAGAGTATATGAAATGCGTGAATATGACGAATCAGAAATAGCTAAGAAGGCTAAATCAGGTAATGAATCAATTCCAAACAGTCGCCCATCGCCTTTCGTCTGCCATCCATCAACTTGTGTTGCTTCTGCTACAAGGTGTTTGTAATGTTCGTGTAGTGGTAGGCGAATGCAGAGAGGGAGAGAGCTTGAGGGGTGGCGTGACAGAGAGAGAGAGGGTGAGTGAGTGGTGCGTTGGGCGCAGGGTCGGGCGGAGCGAGCGACGACGACGACGCCAGCACCAGCTCGCAGATCCGGCGCACCATCGAACGCAACGCGCTGCGCCGCAGCCTGCTGCGCTACGAGCCGGGCCGCACCAACCGCCGCGGCGGCAGCACCAGCGGCGGAGGCGGAGGTGGCGGCAGGGGCTCGGAGGACTCGCTGGTGGAGCGAATCAAGAAGCTCACCTGCGACATCGACGACGAGGACGCTGCCGCCTCGCCCGCAGACGCTGAGGTAGGCAAAGTAGGAGTGTGTGATTAATCATTGTAGGATTAGTGGGGAAATGAGGGATGTAGTGCACGGGATTGGTCAGTTATGAAGAATCAAACAATTAGTCCACCAGCGTTTCGGAATGTTTTAATTCCTTCATCAGAGCTAGTGAAAAAAAGAAAGCAAAGAAACAAAGGAATGAAGACGTTAATATAAAATTACAATCCTCAACAATATGGTTTGCTAAACGAACAATCAATTGTTTTTTGTTCGATTAGCATGTATTATTATGGATAGTAATTTGATATTGTCTTCATGTTTTTTTACACTAACCCTGATGAAGGAGTTAAAACATTCCGAAACTTAGTCAAACTGATTGTTTAATTGTTTATTCGACCAATCCCGTGAATTACATCCCCTATTTATAGTGTTAAGCTTTATTACATCAGGACATGTTTTGAAATCGAGCGACGTTAGGAACGAGTTTTCAAATTTGGACAAATGCAATAAAGCAATATTATAAACAAGTTGCATTCACTACTTTTTTGTACAACAACATTATAAATTTATAAGACATTCAAACTTAATTTTGTGGAACAACTTTCTTATGTCGTCTCGGGTATTTGACATTTGTGCAAGAAAACGGTGGTCGGCTGTTTCGTTTACAGCTACATCCCCGCGATTCTCTCGCTACGATTGGCTGTATATTCGATGACGCAATCATTCGTACCGTAAATTGCGAATACGTCATCATTTGTACCGTAAAATGTACTTTTATGGACGATTTCGTGCAACAAGATAAGCCGTTTATAATGCCGGTATACAAAAAAATACTCTTTCGAGTTCCATTGAATTATCGGTCGCTTTCCAACGGCAGGGCTAAAAACTAATACGAGTAGTTTCTTCGTTCATCTTTGCTTTAGGAAAGAGTTGTTGTTTCATCCTTTAGGACTTATCTTTAGATCATTAACCCCAAGACCCGATGTACACTTCCTTTTGACAAACGTTTTCGGAAGTTTTAGCGAACGCGCGCACGTGCACAGAGGCACTACCGACCCAGAAGCGACTGTGAGAATGCGCGCGTTTGCTAAAACTTATGTCGTCAAAAGGATGCGTCTACGTTGGGTCTAAGTGATTATTTCGTCTTTTTACGCTTAGCAGATGTTTACATAAATCGCAATCATGGCCATTCGTAATCGCTTGGTGGAAACTGGAGTTTTCTGACAATCTATCCTCCCCATAAAAACGTTGTAATACGAGTTAAGTATCTATCAATGACCATAATAGTTGTGCAATCAAAGCTACATTGTGAAAGTTGAACTAGTTCCTCAAACTAGAATACTGCTATCTGTGATGCCGCAGAAAGCTTCGCAATTACAGAAAATCATTAGTGTATTAAAAAAACCCTAAACTTAAAATATTTTAACGGGAACTTGCAGAAAATTATTGCAATATATTGGTGAATACGTAAGTTCTTATACAACTTTCGTTCAATTCTTTTCAATGTATTCTTAGAGTTAGCGTTGACTCCCCATCTCATTGGTTTTCTCCGAGTATTACAATGGCATTGGTGTCGTGAGACGACGAGGCATTAGCCTGTTCTCCCCACTTTAGGAGGGCACACCTCGTTTGAGGAATTAGTGCCCCATTCTCTTAGAAACCTAGGGAAGGATGAGAGGGAACAGTAATAAGAGGAGTTTGACATGCCCCCAATCATGTCAAACAGTGTCTTCTAATCCGTTGACCGTCCCGCCGTGACTGGTGCAATCTGTGACGCAGGGCGAGGACGGCGGGCGGCGAGGCGGGGGCGTGGACGCGTCCACCGACACCGACCTCACCGACTCGGAGGGCGGCGCGTCGGACGCCATGCCACCCCGCGCCAGCCCGCCCGGCGAGGAGCGCCGCGCCGCCAAGGCCACGGTACGCATGCGCGGCGCACGCCAGCCCGGCTCGCGGCGCTTGCGCGTCTTTCTCTCTCTCTCCCTGCTTGCGTGCTTCATTGTTGCCGACATGCGGTGCTGATGTAGGTCAGGGTTGCCCACGGGTAGATTGCTCCGTGCTGGACACGCTAGGGCAAGCTTCGCTGGACGAGTCTGTATCGGCGATGGTTTTAAATCTCCGCTGCTGGTAACTGCTTCGTTCACTTTCCGCTTGCTGGACGAGTCTGTCCTGTCGGTGGTTCTAAAGCCAGCGCCGCTGCTACCTGCTGCATCGGTGTCATAACGGGGAACAATGCGACGGCAGTATGTTTACTTTGAGATGCAATGGATTTAAAGGCGTGCTCTTTAAGTGAGGCTTGCTTATGGTTGTCTAATTTTATCCTACCTAATGACCATCTTAAAATGTATACATTTATCTCTGGGTGCTACGAACCTCTCTTAAACGGATTTCGGGGACAATGATGCATTAATTTAAAATTTAAAATGTTGGGGTTACTGCACGGGTACTGTATAGTTGTATTACAGTGTATATTTACAGATCACATATACTTCACTGTCACACATTAGACGTGATTGATTCAAAGTGCAGTTCTAAATTTATTTCTATCTTTTTCATCATAATAATTGATATTAGCTTCTCTTCATCCAACCTGTCTCCACATTATAGACAGTCGGCTTCGACAGATCTAGGACTTTTCTCCGTGGAATCGAGAAATTTATGTATTTTTAGATTAGGTTAAAATGGTGCAGTTTGTTTATAAAAAATAAAATATTTACTCACTTCAAAATCCGTGAAATCAAAATCCGTAAAATCAAAATCCTTGGAAATCAAGTCGAAATCCGTGAATCCGTTAAATATTTACAAATATTTTTGAGTAGGTTAATCTTCGAATTACAAATTGATTCTTTGGGTCGCTTTTGTTCATACATTTTTAAACACAGTTGTCAACTGAAAAATAATGCATTCATTTCTTCACTATTTATCAATAGTAGTTAGTTACACTTTTTAGGGGCATTTGAAAAAAGAATTTGTCGACAAATAAAAATTGACATGTAATTTTCAAAAAAAGGCCTACCAACGAATGGCATCCAAAACAGGGTGTCCAGGAAGGAAGTAACGAAACTTTGAAACTAAGCTACTAAGACAATTTTAACCATATTTTGTCCCATAAACTTCTTAGATATTTCGAATTGTTGACCCGCAATAAGCTCTCAAAAGTCGGTTGTGTACACGTGAAGGGGGGGGGCGTGTGTCTTCGGCCAACGCGGTTGGCTTGATGGGGCCGCGTTGCGCGTGCGCAGGGCCCGATGTCGCCCGGCGGCGAGGGGGGCACGCCGCCGGCGGTGGCGGCCGCCCGCGCGCACGAAAAGACGTCGTCCCCGTCGTCCGGCTCGTCCTCGTCCACCATGTCGTCGGGCTCCGCCTCCTCCACCTACAAGAAGCTCACCGACCTGTTCGCGCGGCGCGGCGCCGACAGCAAGGGCGCGCCCGCCACCATCCCCGAGGGCGGCTCCCCGCAGGTACCCAGCCCTCACGCTCACCCTCGCCCTCACTCTCACTCTCATCCCCTCTCACTCTCACTCTCATCCTCACTCTCACCCTGTCACCCTCATCCTCACTCTGACCCTCACCTTAACTCTCACTCTGACTCTCACCCTCACTCATCCTCACCCTCACTCTCACCTCCACTCTTAATCTCACTCTCATCCTCACCCTAACTCTCACCCTCACTCTCATCCTCACTCTCCATCTCACTCTGACCCTGTCACCCTCATCCTCACCTTAACTCTCAGTCTGACTCTCACCCTCACTCTCACCTCGACTCTTAATCTCACTCTCACCTTCACCCTCACACCGTCACCCTCATTCTAACCCTCTTCCTCATCCTCACTCGCACCCTCGTCTCTCACCCCCACTCTCACTCTCTCTCACCTTCAGTCTCACCATTACGTTTTACTCTAATCTTCACTCTCATCCTTTTAACCGTCGCTCTCAACCGTCGCCCCCACTGTCACCCCCGGTGTCAATCTCTACGTCACTCCCATCCTCCATCTTAGTTACTTTCACCCTTAGTCGCTCTGAGTGCAATGTGTCAGTTAGGCCAAAAATATGGAACGTCAAAATAAATTCGGATATTAAATTCAGTGTCTTTCATTTTTTAGCCCAACTCCAACAGAAATGATTGCAAGCGATTCTTGGGGATGATTTTCCCTCTGTTATCTTTCTTTACCTGTTTCTTTTGCTTTATTTCTTCCCATCATTTTTCTTTCCCTCTCTCCCCCTTCCCTCTCTCTTTCTTTCCCTTTCTGTATATCGCGTGTCATTTCTTGGTTAGCCAACCCTTCATTAACGTCACCTGCGGAAGCTTATACCAACGCCAACGTCCCTCTCAAAAAATCCAATTTTATGATACCGGTGCGACTGGTAGATTAACAATGTACGATACCACTTTCCCAGCTTTTTAATTCCAAATTGCCAGATTGGGATATTTATGTTTTTATCATCCCACCATACGCCACATACCCTCCTAAACCTAAAAAAAAGCGTTTTTCAAAAACCTACACCTTTTGGCAATGAATATGTTAGTTTATGTGTTAAGACTAAAGTTCAAAATATAGCTAATACGCAAATTAACAGGTTAATTTTCATATTAGCCGGATGCTTTGTTTAAAGCAGAATGATGACGACAAACGGATTATTCTGGACATTATCATGCTAATGTTGGCCCTGGCCACAAGACGCTGAGTAAAGCAAACTGATTGTCCGAGTCTGAGGCGTCTTACGGCTGTTCACGGGACGTACAGTGTTCCAGGAAAATCTCTCCGCAGTGGCACGTTGGGGCTTGCATCAAAAGTTATGTTGGTAGCAGCGTGTAACAAAAAACAACAACAAAAAACAAAAACAAACGTAAAAACCGCACTCACCGCAATCATAACAGATGCTAGAAGTAGTGTCCCCATCACTGTTTTCCCAGCGACCCGTTTGCTACCAACATCATGACCATTATTTACTTGGCTGTCCGGGTGACGCCGCGTCCATGGCGAAGGTGGTGTCGTTTCGACGCGGCGTCACCCGGACAGCCAAGTAAATTCGTACTGACTCCGCCCGCGGAAGCCTACGCTCTCATCATGAGCATTTTTAATAGGAGCACTGACTCGGCCCCTTGCGGGGAGACTTTCCTGTCGCACTGTATTTTGGGATGTAAACGCGTTGCCCCAAATGACGGTTGCCTGGCGTGCGCGCGCGCAGGAGCACTCGAAGCCGCAGCCGCCCACCACCATCGAGTGGGCCA